GTGATCCACCCGCCTCGGCCTCCCAAAGTGCTGGGATTACAGGCGTGAGCCACCGTGCCCAGCCACATATTTTTCTTAACCCTTATTTGTGTCGTTCTGTATCTTGATTGTGCAAAATAATCAGGTCAGGAAAATCTCACAGATTCTAGTTCTTATTTATTTGCTTTTTGAAACTGGATCTTGCTCTGTCACTCAGGCTGGAGTGCAGTGGCATGATCATAGCTGACTGCAGCCTCAACCTTCTAGGCACAAGTGATCCTCCAGCCTCAGCCTCCCAAGTATCTGCAACTACAGGTATGCACCTCCATGCCTGGCTAATTCATTTTTTGTAGTAGAGACAGGGTCTCACCATGTTGCCCAGACTGGTCTCAAACTCCTGGCCTTTAGTAGTCCTCCTGCCTCTGACTCCGAAAGTGCTTGGATTACAGTCATGAGCCACTGTCCTGGCCTAGTTCTTAATTCTAAAAAATACTGTTGCTCATTTAATTTTACAGAGTATTGGAGGCAGGATGGATTTCTTGGATATGTTGCTTCTGTATTTTATCCCATGAACTATCAGGGTAATTTGATTATTTTCTCCTTATTCTAGGTTTGTGAAGTTTTCTATGCCCAGTGTTCCTGACTTTGAAACGCTATTCTCACAGGTTCAACTCTTCATCAGTACTTGTAATGGGGAGCACATTCGATATGCAACAGACACTTGTAAGCTAAATAACATTTTATTCTCCATTGAAAATATTTTGCCCTTGTGGTTATATTTATATTTTCAATATTTTGTTATTGTATCTAGTTGCTGGGCTTTGCCATCAGCTAACAAATGCACTTGTGGAAAGAAAACAGGTAAGAAATACTATTCAAGTCTTCCTAGTTTTGTTAAAATATGTAACTAGCTTACACAGTGAACTACTTTATTAAGATTCCGGTTAGTACTGAGCATCCACCACCTAGATATCTGTGGTCACTTGAGAGCACTCACAGTCATTGCTGTAAGCACAGGAAGCCCCCACGTCCCCTGAATGAGGTGGGGGCATGGGGAGGTGTGGCGCCTCAGGGAGGCTGCTGCTGGAACCAGCAAGTAGTTGGAATTACCAAGCTAGTACCGTGTGTTTTTTTGTTGTTGTTTTTTTGTTTTTGAGACAGAGTCTCGCTCTGTCACCCAGGCTGGAGTGCAGTGGCACAATCTCGGCTCACTGTAAGCTCCGCCTCCTGGGTTCATGTCATTCTTCTGTCACAGCCTCCCGAGTAGCTGGGACTACAGGCGCCTGCCACCACACCCAGCTAATTTTTTACATTTTTAGTAGAGATGGGGTTTCACCGTGGTCTCGATCTCCTGACCTCATGATCTGCCCGCCTCGGCCTCCCAGAGTGCTGGGATTACAGGCGTGAGCCACTGCACCCAGCTGCTAGTTTCCTTTATGTTGTAATATGCTGGGTTTTGTCTGTTACATTTTTTGTTTTAACTTTTAATTAGGACATTATTTTAGCCTTACAAAAAGCTTTAAGAATAATACAACAAATTCTCATACATTTCACCTAGATTCTCCAGATGTTTAACATTTTATCACACTTATTCTTTTTTTCTCTTCCTCTCTCTTTTATTCTGAGCCATTGGAAAGTAAATTGCAGATATGCTATTGCTGTTCTTTATCCCTAAATACTTCAGTGGGTAAAGCCTAAAAATTAGGACATTCTCTTACATAGCACAGTGTAATGGTCAGCATCCAGAAATGAACTCTTACTTTTTTTATTTTATTTTTTTTTTCGGAGACAGAGGCTCGCACTGATGCCTGGGCTGGAGTGCAGTGGCACCATCTCTGCTCACTGCAACCTCTGCCTCCCAGGTTCAAGCAATTCTGCCTCAGCCTCCTGAGTAGCTGGGGACTACAGGTGCATGCTGCCACGCCCAGCTAATTTTTTGTATTTTAGTAGAGACTGGGTTTCACCATGTTGCCAGACTGGTCTTGAACTCCTGAGCTCAGGCAGTCCTCCCGCCTTGGCCTCCCAAAGTGCTAGGATTACAGGCGGGAGCCACCACGCCGGGCCCAGAAATGAACGTTAATATAATTCATCAACAAATTGACGGACCCCATTTAGATTTTTGGCCAGTGAAAAGGACTGTCTTTTGCTATAAAAGGACATTAGCTGTTCAGACAGTGTACCATATAGCAAAAGAAAACCATGGACCATGGATTGCATTACATTGCTTTGTCTCTTTAGTGTCCCTTAATCTGGAACAGTGCTTTAGTCTTTATCTTTTATAATATTAACACAATTTATAATATGGGGTTTTTTTTGTTTTTTTGTTTGTTTTGAGACAGAGTCTCGCTCTGTCGCCCAGGCTGGAGTGCGGTTGTGCAATCTCGGCTCACTGTAACGTCTGCCTCCTGGGTTCATGCCATTCTCCTGCCTCAGCCTCCCGAGTAGCTGGGACTACAGGCGCCCGCCACCACCCCCGGCTAATGTTTTGTATTTTTAG